CAAGATAAAATTCATATTATCTATCTATCTATCTATCTATCTATCTATCTATCTATCTATCTATCTATGCATTTATTTTCAGAACAGCTAATCCCCAGAGATAAAGATGGACCTCACTCCTATTAGTATGACCTATGGTCCTATGGGATCTTACGAAGAAGTACATCACGCATTGATGAGGATGAGTGATTGAAATGATGGTGATGATTTGTTATTTTATTGTATTTTCTCTCTCCACATGAAAATGACCAGACAGGACTGAAACTAACAAAAAGTGACGTACTGGTTGAGATGCTGGACAAGAACTAGGGCAAACCAGGTTCTATTCTACTGTAAGCCATAGAAGCTCACTGAGTGGCTTTGTCCAGTTACTCTCTCATAAACCAACATAACCCACAGGATTGTTGCTGCAGACACAAATCTGAGGAAAAATGCTACATTGCTACTTTGAGTTTGTGGAGGAAAGACACAATATAAATCTAACAAATAATGAAGGAAGGAACAATGAACAGCTAAAATGAGCTTGTACAATTGTCTAAAGCATATGTAACTCACCAAGAGGAAGGTAGAAAGGGGTACCCTAATCACAATTCCCTTGAAGGACTGATGTTTAGAAAAGCATTGATTATTTTTTAAACTAACTCAAACATGCCAAAATGGAATAATGTGCTGAACCCACTATTGTCTACATCATCTTTTCCTTGTTCCATGGTTATGAGATGTGTGTTTCCTGCTCCCTTGGTGAGCACAGCAGATTGTCCTGGACTGCTAATCGTTACTTACCAAACAGCAGTCAACAACTTCATTTTGGAAAACAAACAGACTTCATTATCTTTTCCAGCTGTTACTAATTGTTGTTTGTCAGCTTCAAAGATCTGCTGCCTCTTCTTATGGCTCTGCCCTTAAATCCATGTTGGCCTAGGTAATTCTTAAATCAGGGGATGCCTTCAAATGAAGAGTAGTCCTCTGAAAGTTTTTCCAAGAGGTGGCTGCCCCAAGTTCAGTAGGCTAGGTGGTCATACTAATACCCTTGAGCTATGCCACTTTGCCAGGGATGTCCTCAGGGAAGGGTCGTAAAGCACACACACACATACAATGGGATAGGGTTTCAATTACACACTTGCGAACATTTGGAATTCTTTGCCCCTCTCCCTGCAGATGTCCCGTGGTCCATCTCATTGAATGAAAAGTTGTTCTTTGAAGAAGGAGGTGTTGACCAGTTGCAATGAAAGGCTGGAGCTATAATGAGGCCACTCCACAATATTTTGAAGCTCAGTACAGGCCATTTTTCTTTCCCAGCTGGAATCCAAACCCTTGTTAAACTGGTAAAATGTGCTAGCATTGAGAATAAACCAAACCTGGACTGCATTGCATCTTCTCCAGAAGTTAAAATAGCTGCACCAAAGGGGAGGCTACTGTTAAAACTCAGCATGTAACCGATTTTACGAAAAGCTTAATTAAGAGAGCCTGATGAAGGATTTAGACTAACTCACAGTAAATGATATTCAGATCTTAAATCAGGAAAACAATTCTTAACTGAGCTCATAAAAACAGACCTCATGGCACTAATTTCTGCTGTCCTTCACAATCTTGAAGAATATTATTTTCAGAAAGGGGAATCTTCTGTAGGATAGAGAGTCTTTAGTATGGGTTTTATAGTTTTCTGTATGGGAGTCTTCTATATGGGTTGTATAATCTTTTGTAGCTTTCACACATTACAGACACATGAGGGCAAAGGATCTACTGTTCTTAAAGCAAGTGCATTCTTTACATGTACTCACATTCTATCCTGAATATTTACCAGGACTACGTAAATACTGAAAAGAAGCTAAATATTGCAACCCCAAGATCAGCCTTTAGTTTCTAGCATGGAAATCTAATGTCATTTCATGAGTTTGTTTTATATGAGTAATGGCAATCGTTTTTGAAATGTCCTTCCTTTCTTTCTTACAGATGGTAATCGTGAGTTTAATTAAAAAAAAGAAAAGAGATATTTAGTGCCATTCGCTATCCCATGCCAGTGTTTCTCATCCTTGACCTTGTCCTTCTGAGGAACACAGCCTCTAGCATCTATTGGCTAGCACTCTAATTAAAATGTAGATTGCAGACTATTGAGTTGAAGCCTACAGGTTTGGCTTCCTCACTGACATACCTTTTCTTCTCAGGAATCTCATTTTCAATTGATGGTGAAGCAGACAACTTCTTTACAAGGAACTTCTCAGACTCGGAGTCAATAGAAACAACTCTGATCTAGAGGAAAAGTGGGGAAAGTTAGGATAGATGGCTCCCGTGTTCCATTTGTTCTTTGTGTGAATTTGCAAACAACTGCACAGTTCCACAAGGTAACACTTCAACAAGCTTTAGAAGTTAGCATTGTTGAGTACATGTAATGGCCCATACAACTGCAGAGAAACCAATTCAACTTCCTACTGCAGAGTTTCTAGCCAGCTTCTCTTTAGTTATTTATTACATTATTTCCTCACTTTCTTTCTAGTGAGGCAATAATGAAATAAGCAACATGGTATCCATAATAATGTAAAAAGCAATATAGTGTCCATGGCACAAATGTTCCTCTAGGCACCTTCCTTCGTGCCAATCCTGCCTACCTTCCCACCTGATTTTTAAAAATAATTTTATTTTTTAATTATTTTTTATTTTAATAAAAATAATAACAGGAAGTTGGAATGTACCAGTCTCTAATACATTTGTTTGTAGGAATGCTTTTGGGTCCCACCAGGTCCAAGTGATCCTGTTCCCACAACATGTTTAATTGAGCCAATGGAAAGCAATATATTGTTGGAACACCATAAAAGAATTAACTGATCTAATCAAATAACCCACAGGATGTTAAATTTTACCCTAGTCATTCACAGAATTAAACTAACTCCATCAAATCAGTTGCATGTGGAAATACCTAAACCCATTTTGAATTGCTGGTCCCCCAACAAAAAAAACCTATGGAGAAAGAATGGCTGAAAAGCAAACAGAAGTTTGCTACAGCATTCAGTGTCAAACCTGCTAGATAACCCATGCTAAGCTACTCCTCCTGCTATCTATCTAGTGCCTAGCCAATCAGGAAGGGGGGCTAGTGATGTCATGTAGCCATGCCAGTAGTCTCCTGGTCAAAGTCTCATGGAATGTCAAGTTCTTCCTGGAGAAAGTGGGTTATGTCAGCCTTTTGAGGTAGGCAAGATCAAGAAACTGGAGCAGCAAAGGTTTCAGGAATGCTCTTTATTTTTGTAGGGTATGAGAACAGAATCTGAAAGTCTGTCAGTGTTTCTCTATACTACATCTCCCATCAAACAAAATCAAGGCAAGTTTATTTTGAGTTTCCTTCTCATGCTTTCTTCTTTCCAAGGTCTGAACTGCCTCCTTCCTTACTGGTTCATTCACCCATTGCCTATTCCCAGGGCTAGGTTTATATTCCATCATGTGGGGACTGTAAATTTCCCAAATGGCAACATTGGATTCAATGTGTTTACAGTATACGTTGCCAGAACCACCAGTAAAAAAATGTGACTAGGTCATGGTCTGACTGTACAGGAGCATGTAGATAACTGCGAAGAAAATATGTTGGAACCATTAGTAAAACATGAGCTTAGCCTGATGAAACAGGAAAGCATGAGAAAGAAACTCAGTATTGTTCCTCTTTTACTGTCTTTGATATAAGAGGAAGAAAAGGAAAAATGCTATCAAGGTTCTGTTACTCTAGCCTGTATTAATAAAGGAGAGTTCTGGTATATTTAGTGGTATTGGTTTACTGACCTGGTCTATCTCAAAGGGCTGATACTGACTATGGTAATGGTATTTTGGGAAGAAGGACAATTAGATGATAGAGAACATTCTGGGGGCCACCTTACCTTCTGGTAAATGGGTGTTTGTCACCATCTATGGCAGCCATTTTGTGAATAGACAAACCTTGTGTGACAGCCATTTTGTAAGTGTATCTGCCATATGTTCTCAACATTCTGAATGTGCCCCCAGAATTACCAACCTCTGTTCTAGAAGTTCAAGGTAAAGCACAAAGAGGATTGGCACCCTCACTATAACCTCACAATTGAAAACCCTAATAAGGTAATTTTGATTGAGAGAGAATGATTGGCCCAAAGACACTTGGTGAGTTTTGATGACTGAGGATGAGTAAAGATCTTCCTTGTTCCATTGGGTCTTCTGCTTTTGCTCCATGTGTACCTGTCCTGTCTGAGAATAAAGATATTGGTAAGAAGAAGGATTGAGGTAATTGCCATGACCTCTCCATCTAGTTTCAGATCAAAGGAAAAGAGCAAGTCAAGGGTCAGAAACAACATTGAGAAGGTTCCCACCACTATCTGCCATTGGCCACAACAGAGTTTAACTTGTTTGTACTTGTCAAACCTCCCTTCCTCCCTCCCTTCCTTCCACAGTTCCAATCAAATTGACAGATGCACACATATACAACACCCCATTTCATTGACAAAAGAAATATTATGCAGAGTTTCAGTCTCAATAACAGTTAACTAGATAGCCCATCCTGAACAATTCTCTACCCTTAATCTTTAGCTATCTCTTCAGTTATGTAAAGGTTAAACACAGCTTTGAATTCCTTCATGAAATGACAGGTGAAAATGCAACATACACAAGGTTTTGTTTTGTTTTGTTTTTTGTTAAGCTTATGCATCCAGAATCAT